GAAAAGCATTCGAAAATTACCAAATCAAATAAAACGCCTGTTTATTTTTTACACCGCGCTTGGTGCCAAAAATACAGAGACCCGCCGAGAGGATGATTGCGTTCAAATGATCAGAATATAAAGACCAAAAGGCGCCTAGTTGCTTTCGTCGGAGGAATAGTTTTTTTAAAAAATAGTATTTTAAAGTTGTTGTTCTGTAAAAGTTGAACTTTCAAATTTTACTCATTTTTTGAACAGTTACTGAAGTACAATGTATGTGACATAAAATATATTGTTAAGTTTAATCTTTTTCAATATTAAAACTTAAAGAAAACGATTTTTCACGCCAAGTATCGTTTGCCTAAAAATTATTACTCGTTTTCTTTTCTTAATTTAGAAAGTTACTTTTTAATAAAATAAGTATTATTTAGACTGTTTTAATCAAAAACTGCTCGCTTGGCTGTTATTATTCGACAAGAAATATTTGGAATTAGAAATTTCATAAAATTGCTATTTACATCTATATGAAATGTACTTCTAATTTTTTTCAACATTAAAAGTTTAAATTAAGAAAAACAGCTATTACATGCCACTAATAAAAATCGTATGCTCAAAAAATATAGTTCATTTTCTATCTTTAATAGATTATTAATTAATAAAGTAAGAATTATCAGGACAATTTTCCAAAAATTCCTAGCTGTCTTATTTTATTAAGGAAAGAAAGTTGGAAAATTATTTCAAGAACTTGACATTCAAAACTGTTTGTTTTGTTTTCTAAATTTAATAAATTATTTAATAAAATATGACTTATTAAAACAATTTTTCAGGTAATTAACAAAAGCAAAAAAAATTCCAGCAGGTCTTTTTTTTTTTACACGAGAAGATTCGAAATTCCAAATGATTTTTTAAAAAATCTCAACTCAGCATATGCTTATTTTTTAGTATATCTGTACGAACAATATATATAGTTCTGGTATAGTATATAGTACTCGTTTAGTATGTATGTACCTGTAATATGAGTACTATAAAGCAGATTTTTGCTGATTCTTAATCAACATATAAATAAAATTAATATTTAGAATTAAATAATGGGATACCTGCATGTGATGTAGTGTAAGTATCTCGATCCTATTGGTTGTTGAAACGTGGCATTTATTTATGTTCGCAACTGTTCTTTGCATTCTATTTCGAGTAAGCCAAGCCCGTCAAGTATCAATTCTCTTAAGTGACACATTTTGTATTCTTGCACAAAGATTCTATCACAAAGATTTTAATTCTTTCACTATATATTTCTTACTTAACATAAAGACAGACATGGAACCATGTAAAACTTAAACGAACTAATTATGCATCGAAGTTGACAGGCATACAAAACAAAATATACCATGGTTACGATAAAATACATAAACAAATAATAAATCTAAATTAAGTAAAAGATGTAGGCTAGAAGGAATTACATTTCAACAAATTCAATGTGTGCTACGGCGCTGTATTAAATTAACTTCACGGTAATTAACATTCCAACTTTTGGAAAGAAACTTAGTTCAACTGTAACACGCCCTTTTGCTTAAAAACAGTCAACTGGCGGTGACGTAATAGGTCACATGTGTGGGTATCCGAGATCTTCTTCTTGAAGTACAAGTACCTCCGCAATGGCATATAAACTTATAATTTATTTTTCAAGAGTCAGACTGTAAAAACTGAATTTTGAAATTTAGCCTCATTCACCATATTCTTTTAATTTATCCCGAACTGATAAACTCTTCTTTATTAACGCTTTTGAATTTTTATTTAAAGAATGGGTCTGTCCCACGACACGGAGCCTTTGGAACCTGCTCCTAACTGTTTTGACAATGCCGTTCGAAAACAAACTGAAAAGTTGAATTGGTTTTCATCTTAAGAGAAAAGTGGAGATACTCTTTCCTTTTTTCTTTTAAGCAAATAATTTTGTGTTGAATTCAATCATTTTTTAAATAAACTTTTCTTTTTAATTTAAAATAATTTTTAACGCTGAAGCCGACAATATTTTTTGTCACATTTTCATCAAAATAAAAATTCTTATAAAATATATATTAAAAAATTGAGAATTTGATTGGTTTTTTAAAAGTAGAACGATCAATTCACATTCATTAGGAATAACCCCAGGTTTCTTAAAATAGTGAATTGTGTTTTGTATTTTTATACGATTTTAACTTTTTTATTGCAGTTTAATTTTCTGAAAGAATTATTTAAAGTATTGACAAAAAATAATTACTAATAAATAAGAAATAACGATTTCAAGTGAAAATTTTTATTTGAATCAATTGAAAAATTAATAGTTTAACGATTTATAAACCGAAAAACTTCTCAAAAGTGATAAAAATTCGGAGCGGGCTCCAAAATCTTCGTGTCGTTAAACAGACTCAATGGAGGCTTCTCCCATAAAGAAGTTGCAAAAACAGAACTTGCTGATAATATTTATCATAGTTTTTAGAATTTCGCCATTTTTTTTTCTTCATTAATACTAAACATTTGTTTTTAATGAAGATTATTCATTTCTTTTTTCTTCATCTAATTTTGTCATAATAAATACAGAAGATATACAGCATTCCATGACCATTGTGGAGCTATAAAACTTTAAATGTGAGCTAAAGGCATTTTTAAGTATGTATCACTTGGATGATTTTCGTGTATTTCGTGTTTTCTTAAATCACTAACTCCGTGAAAATACATCAGGTGTGAAGTTAGAATGATTTTGATAATCATAAACAAAAGGAAGCATTATACGTCTATTTTGGGCTTAGGAGAGATTTATGCGGAGGCTTTTTTTTTTAAATGGAAAAATAAATATAGTATTATTGATGTCAAAATATTCCAGAGAAAAAATATAATTATTAGTTTAGAAGTACTTGTTTAATTGACTATAAACTAAGTTATTTTGTTTTTAAGGGAAGTAAAAACTAATGATCCAAATAGAACAGATTTATAAAACATTTATTTTAGATTTTCGATGGAATTAGTAATTCAAAAGGTCGAAGATTTTGTTCTTATTCGGAAAAATAAGCCTCTTAAGACAACGGCTAATCTTTAGAAATGGAGTAGTAACTTAGTTCGGGTCAAATTCGCAATAACCATTTAATTATTAAATTTATGTCTTTGTAATTAAGATTGGCGAACAGTATAATACAATTGCTATTGAAGATTCACAATTGCAAAATTGTTTTAAGTTTTGTAACTTTTTCTCCCTTATTTCTTTGGATTTACCAGCGATTTTCGTAAACTTTTACGATATTATTTTTGATTAAATTAAGGTACATTAACACCCTTAAAATCGCAATTAATTTTACTCCAATGAATAGTGAGTGAGCGTTCGCCTTCCGATGAGGTGAATCGGGTTCGAATCCCAGCAATGGCAGGTTGTTCGCATCCGGCTTGCATCGACCACAGTGCTGACGTAAAAATCCTCAGTGGTAGATGGATCATGGGTTGGAGTCCTCGTCAGGATAACCGTGGGAGGTCTTCGAGGTTTACCTTCCAATGTAACGAAAATGCGGGTTAGTTTCATCAAAAAGTTCTCCGCGAAGGCAAATTTCTCCCGCTACTTTATCTAGGAGTTCCCTTGTCTTCTGAATTGGGTTCAAAATTACAAGGCTACTTAGTTGAACATTTGTAAAGCTGAAAATTGGGACGGCTGTTCAACAACGACGGTTATCAAATAAAATCTATAGTAAGTGGCACAAAATTGAAATCTAATATTACGCTTAATAAATAAATAAAACTTAGTATTTTAATGAACAACAAAAGTTTAAAACTGAAAATAGAAATAAACCTTAAGATGTACCTTTAGAACCTTTAGATTCATTTAACAAATTATGTTTCTTTTGATTAAAATAAGGTTATTTAAGAGATTTTTTTTGATAAAATTAAAAAATAGCTGCTATATTGCTGATTTGTACAAAACTTTTAGAACTTATTTATTTATTATTTTAAATTTTTCGAGAAAAGAAAAGAAAATGGTATTTAGAGGACTAATTACCCCAAATTATTATTAAAAAAAAAGAGAATAAAAACGTCCGACATGTAATGAGGAATAGAAAAAAAGTTTTAATATTTTATTCACTAATAAATTATCACCAAATTGGATATTTTAACAACGGTGGAATAAGAATTAGCGACCTGCTCTTATCAATCAAATTTTAATCTTGTAGGTAATCCCGGACATAGACGATAGTTGTATTTCTGGATATTTTTTCTCCATTTAGAGCATTTTTTTTAAATGGGGGCATTGAAGAGCATTTTTAAGTTTTTGGGGGTATTCCTTTTTCTATATTTTTCATTATTTCTTTGATTTTGGGTCATTTTTATCACATTAAATGCGAAGCAAAATGAAAGTGTTCTCAACTCAATTTCTTTCTCTTTTTTCTTACTATTTTAGCACATAATATTTATTTCAAACTTTAATGAATGTACTGTATGTATTACATTGCTTTATAAATTTTGACAGAATGAAAGTAATTTTAAAGAAGAAAAAATTGCTTGTTTTTATTTTCTCTTAAATAATAGAACATTTTTAAGGACATTTTATGCATTTTGAGGGAATTTTAGGTCGTTTAAATCCGTGCACTACTCATGAAGAAGATATTCAAATTCTCCATTTAAATTGAATTATTGTATACAAATCGACTTAAAGACAAGGAATAAGGGAAAATGGAATATGGGAAAAAATTTCCGTTTCAAAAAGGTTATAATGATATTTAAAACAGCAATTTTTACTTTGAACATTTCATCTACGTCAGCGGTTGCATTAATTCCGCACGATGCTTTAAACATGTATTAATCATTTGAACAATGAACATTGAGGTTCTGAAGTAAATATGAAATTAAAAAGTTTTCAAAAACAAAAGTAAAGATGAAATTTTAAAACTTTTAATCAGATTTTAACAGATAAACCAATTGTGCACAATCAGAATTGTACGCACAGAATTTAGAGTTTGATTTTGTTATATTTCCGAAAGAATGATCATTTTCATTTTATTTTACAGGTGTATAAGATGATTGAAATTATCATCGGACGTATGCTGTGAATAAATATCCCTGAGATTAAAAGATGAAGAAACGCCAATGCTGCTTTATAATAAATCTAATATTGACGTGTTCAGTTTTGTACGTAATTCATAGTTATCTAAATTCACTTTACACGTGGAAATGTTGCAAGTTCTTATTTGGCAGCGAGAAGAGCGTAGGAATTCCAAGCATTGTAGTTTACAGCAATAAAAACAATATAAAAGAAAGCACAAAATGCCAAAATTTCAATCATACTCTAATCATCTCAACCATCAAAAATGAATGGCAAAAAATAGATCATACTAATCTTTATGTATATTCAGCTTATATAGACGATAGAATAAAAGGAAAACGATTTATTCGTATAATAGCCATGTCCAAAGGAATGTTCCGTCAAAGGATATTTTGCAATACCTGGACAAACAATGAAAACGTCTATTCATACCAACTCGACTTTCAAGAACTGTGGATTACTTCTTGGGATATGGCAACACCTGACCAGTACTACAGACCTTTCTTACTATCCTGTGAAGTTGATAAAACTATCTCGCCATCAGCCATAACAGTAACAACAACGCCATGTAAACACTCCAGTAGTATCCTGCTATTAAACAAAACACATTCAAAATCTAGAATTCAGAGGGATTTTATGGTTTGCCTTAAACCTTTAAATTTTAAATATGATATAACAGTAAAACTGTTAGAGTGGTTAGAGCTCCAATTTCTCCTAGGAGCTGATAAAGTTGCAGTTTACGTCTACAAAGTACCCTTTAAAGTGCTGAATGTTCTGAAACACTATGAAGAACAAGGTAAAGTAACTATTAAATACATTTCTCTGTTAGACTCCCAAGAGGTAGCCAATGAAAAATCAGAGCAAAATGTCTGGCAAAAACGGCGATACGAAATGGCTATTTACAACGATTGCTTTTACAATCACATCTTGACGCACAAGGTCGTAGTTAACTTAGATTTAGACGAAGCCATTATACCAATTAAAGCGAGCTCTTGGCCAGTATTGTTTAAACAAGCAAAAAAATACTCTCCGAACATTTTTCAGTTTGCTTCCATATCGGCGCCAAATGTGTATTTTTTTGATAGTTTTGGTGAAGAATCAGATGAAAGTGTTCCAGAATATTCATATATGTTACGGCATTTAATAAGATCGTCGAATTTCACGCCGCCTGGTTTTGCTCAAAAGAGTTTCTTCCTCACAAATAACACTTTGAGTGTCACAAACCACTATGCACTGAAATCTTTACACTATTCCATTAGAACAAATACTGCCATGAAGAAAGAACTGGCCCAACTCAACCATTACCGCAGTGCTTGTCCATCCAAAATGGAGATCGAGTGCCTAGAGAACTACATGAAATTCACAGTCAAAGACCCTATAATTTTGAAATATAAAGATACATTAAGCGCTCAGATTAAAAAAAGATTGGCAGAGTTAAATTTGACTGCATAATGAAGCAGGATGTAAAATAATTCGAAGTCTCTTACACCTTTTCTCTGTATCGAATTTTTTTTCTTCCGAATTTTCGACCCCAAAAAGAGAGCTTTTTTTATTGCTGAAAATTAAGATATTTTTTTAAATTCTAAATTCGAAAATGCAAAATATTTTTGCCAGCAAGCACTTTTTTGCTTGATTGGTGGTGAAATATGTGATGTCCCGATCACTAATCTCCTGCATTCCCTGCAATTCACCCAAATTTTACATTAAAAAAAAAATACTATATTTATTAACACTATTGCTTTAAGGTGCTTAAGAGAGAGGTAAAAAATATTTTGGAAAATAATTTTCCAACCTTATACATCATAACTATTTAGACATGCAGTGGTAACACCAATGAAAGTGAAATAACAAAAAGTACAAAATGAGTTTGATTTCAATTTAAGGCGGGGAATCTCACGGCGAAAATTGTGAAGAAAGGGGGACTAGTTGCGCAATATTCTCAAAATACAAAAATAATCGCGGGATTTAAAGAGAGGTGTAAGTAGCGACGAATTTAATTTCAATGATGCTATTTTTCTCTTCATCGCATGGCACGCGACGCCGACCAACGGTCACGAAAACGCCGAACGTAAGAGATGCGACGCCGACAGAGAGGGGATTTTCGAAGGTTCGTCGCCAAGCAAAATAAAAAAAGGCACAGCTTATGCAAAGCGATGATTTTAGTATATTTATGATCTTGCCATGAAGAATTATGTGGGTTATAGAACAGACAAATTACTTAAATTTAGTTTAAAGTTATTAAACTTATTTAAAAATTGTAAATTTAGCGACATTTTCCCACCTTGATGATAATTTAACAAAATAACTACCTTATTCTTCAGTTTTTGAAAATTTTTATGAGCCGAGGTAATGCAGCATTGGAGTAAGTTTTTAAATATTAAAAAATTAGCCCATAAACGCTTTTCAGTCTCAAAAAACTTCGCTATTTTCAAAATAAGCATAGACAGCGCTGGCTTAAGATAGGCTAAATTTGACCCAACAGTCATGAGTAACTGTTGCCAACTCACAGCAGTTATTCGCAAAAAAGCATCAGTAGATATGACAACGGAGCCTTCGGAAAAAAAAAATTTAAACCAAATAGCGAAAATTAATATATTTAATTCTTTCACACTATGTTTTCAGACTAACAAACATTTAACAAATTCAACTTTTAAAATAGTAGGGAAAAAAGCATGTGATTTTGTATATTTACTGATGAAGATAAGCTTATGGCAATATATATGTTACGGTTAAAGTAATAAATCTCGTTATTATGTACGGTTAAAGTTATATATTATTAATAATTGTTAATGAAGTTTTGTCAGTATGAATAATTTAGACATTATTAATTGAAACTTAAATAAGATACCTACAAGTGGGTATCCTGATTGGTTGTTGAAGCAAGGCATTTGTTTATGTTTGCAACAGTTCTTTCAATTCTATTTCGAGTAAGCCAAGCTCGTCAAATATCAATTCTCTTAAGTGACACATTCTATATTCTTACACAAAGATTTCAATTCTTTCACTATATATTTCTTACTTAGCGCAAAGACAGGCAAGAGGGCAAGCAGAATTTAAACCAACTAATCATGCATCGAAGTTGCCAGGTACACAAAACAAAAATATATGAAGGATACAAAAAAAACACATAAACAAATAATAAATCTAAATTAAGTAAAAGACGCAAACGAGAAATAATTTTATTTCAACAAATTCGATGCTCGATACGGCGCTGCATTTAATCAATTTCATATTAATTAACATTCTGACTTATAGGAAGAAACTTAGCTCAATTTTAGCACGCCATTTTGCTTATAAACAAACAGCTGGAGCTGACGTCATAGGTCACATGTGTGGGTATCCGAGATCTTCTTCTTCTGAAAGTGCAAGTACCTAATTTTAACATAATTCTTGTAGGGTTTTGTGCTGTGATAAAAAATTTGTAGTTGTAGAGATTAGATGAGGATTACGTTAAAGCAGATTCGATTTAATAAACTTGATTCCAGGCTACATACTTAAGGTGTAACACACATCCGGATATTTGAAACTAAAGATAAATAATACTAATTTAACATATTTTTCTTTAATTTTGTTTTTACTTTCAGTAATAAGCATTAGAGTTTTGAAAATATAAATAAAAAATTGTTCATTAATTTGTGGCATTCCTGTATTTTTTGACCTTTCAGTAAAAGCAATTTATCTATGAATGATTTAACACAGACAAATATAAAATATCAGTATATAAAAAAAAAAACCAGTCGCCAGAAACTAAAATGGTGTAATAAATTAATTCTTGGATTCAAGAGATTAATTGAGGATTATGTTAAAGAGCCTAGATGTAATTGACTTGATATTAGACTAGATGCTTAAGTAGTAACAAAGAGCCACACTTTGGGATATTTGAAATCAAAAATAAATAATAATAATTTGACATGTTTTTTTAAATTTCGTTTTTGCTTACAGTAATATGCGTTAGAGTTTCAAAAATATAAATTAAAACTGATCATTAATTTGTGCCATTCTTGTATTTTTTTGTTCTTTCAGTAAAGGGAATTTAATTATGAATGGTACATCACAGATAAAAGTTTCAGACATAAAAAAAAAAATGTCACCAGAAACTAAAATGGTATAATAAATTTATTAATTCTTTGATTTAAGAAATAAATATACTTTTGAATTACATAAATATATTTATAGAAACAACAGTCTTCCTGAAACACATAAAATCCAGACACATCCAAAAGAATAAGTGGTTGTGTTCTTCTTTGGTTAGTGCAGATACGCAAAACAATAACATTTAAGTAGCCAGGGTTAATACATCTTTTTTCATTCAATATTTATAACAATCACATGGTTAATTATGATCCACAATAAAAACAATATAATGCTCATAATGAAATGAATGAATGTTAATAGCAATTAAACATTAGTATATTGTTGAGTACAATATCAACTCATAAAATGTGGAGCCATTTGGGAAAAAGAATATAAAAATTACCCGATGAAGCAGCATTTCTTATTTTTAAACATCACAAAAAACATCAAAACTGACTCTGATTCTATGGTAAATTTCAAATGTTTATTTCATTGAAAAAATAAATAAATAAATATTTATGAATAATTGAATGCTTTAAAACATGATTTAACCTCCTGAGGCTGGAGCTTTAAATAATGGTAGAAGATACGATTTTTACTTCAAAATATAAAGCTTGAAAGTAAGTATTGTATTAATCTCACAGATATATATAATTAGAAATACAATAAATTTTGATGAAATAAACAAAAAGATTATTTTCAGGCCGCATTCCTTTACAAGAGACATTTCAAAATAAAGAATATTTATAAGATAAAAATTATTCTTAATAATGCCTCAAGGCCTCTAAAAAACAAAAAATTGAAAAAAATATAATGTAATTGTAAAATTAAAAAAGGAAAACGAAAACAAATCTACCAAAATAAAATAAAATAAAATTTAAAAAAAAAAAAAAAAAAAAAAAAATACAATGTTAAAATTAGGTTTACTAATCTAACAGTTGACAAAAATTGTTAAGAAGAAGAAAAAAAAAATTTTTGCTTTCAGCTTTAACTATCACATTAAAATTCAGTGCTGCCATCTATGAAAGAAACACTTTAAGATGTATGGTAAGTAAGATATATATATATTTATTTTAAATTAATTAGACCTAATATTTTTAATCATTGCATAGAAAACAGTAATTTTAATTTTTACCATTTTTTGCATATTGTAAAGTATTTTTATAATGTATTTCTTTACTATTTTGTCAAGAAACAAAATACTCTATATAATAATATATATCATACAATAATATATATCATATAATAAGATGTATCTAAAATATATCTAAAAGGCAACTTGAATTGAATTCCTGACCTTTCTTATAATTTTTCATTCAACTTGAAAACTCCAACCAATGAGGGTAAATCGAATTATACATAGCTTTGTTAGGTATAGAGACATAAAAAATTAAACATTAAAACATTTTTTAAGTGATAAAAATTGTGCAAAATGTTGATCCAGACATTAGAAGTTGGGTCCAAAAAGCTTAAAATAAATTTTTAAAAATGCTGTTTCTAAAATAATTTTATTTTTCAAAACCCGGTTTAGGTTAAAATGAAAAGGTTTAAGTTTGAAAATGAAAAGGTTAAATACCAGCATAATGACATTGCAATACGTTTACTACACAATTTAAAAGTTTTGAAAATAATAAAATTAAATCTAACAGTTGACATTACATTGAGCACATTACTGTGTGAATGGGAAAAATAGTAATAATAGAAATAACTTTTTAATTATCTTATAATAAAACTTAACATTAAATATAATAATGCATACTAACAACCATTGATCGAACATATTCTAAAATGCATATGAAACAAGAAATAGAATGTAGTTACGATAGACGACAAATCTTTTTTTTAAGAAATCGATCCACAGTTTAAACCATGGTTAACTGCAAAAGTAATTTTGCAAATTACATATTTAATTTTAGGTACATATATGCAGGATACAAAATTAAAATAATTATAAATCTTCAAGTTAATATTAACTCAAGATATACCTTTATTTGCAATTCAAACTTTAGGAAAGTTGAAAACCATTCACATTTTTAGATATAATTAATAAGGTCATTGTATTGTTAAAAAAAATAATTAAAAAAACTTTAGTATAATTTTTAGTTACAGAGCTTTTTTTCCTTTAAGTTTGAACTATTGTATTTAGACTATATAAGGATGATTTCATAAAAAAATTAAACTTAAAAGTTATGTTAACTGTACTTAGTAATTTATTATTTTATAGTAATTTAATTTATAGTAATTTATACTTTTCACAATAGGCTAGACATCACGCAAGTAGTTCATAAACTATTTACTCTTAGCAAAAATATTCAACATTGTATCCATCTCAAGATGGTTACACAAATTCAAAAAGTAGCAAAATTATTGCAACCATACTGAGATTTTGAGAAAAGAAATAACACGTTATGGTAGCACTTATTGATTAAAGATTCCAAACTGGACTGAAATCTTATTAAGATGAATTCTTAAATTAAAACTCAATCTATAAATTAAAAACTAGTTTTGATAAACACTCATTATAATTTTTTCATAAATTTAGATAGCTAGTTTACTATTAATCCACGGCAAAATATTTAGACAGAAGAAAAACCAAATAAAAATTCTGATTATTGGAGAAGTATAAACTATAAACAGAAACTATCAATAAAACTAAAAAATAAAAAAAAAACTTAATTAGACATAAAATTTTGATTTCCTTCTTTAAAAACTACATATTAAACAATTGAAATAATTTCTAAACTAATTCTATACACATAAGAATGACATAAATTTAATCCAAACTATGAATAAGTTTTAAGTAATTGTTAATCCGAAGAAAAAAAAAACCCCATCAACTTCACTTCAAAAATCTTCATTGATAGAATAACGTTTTATTATATATAATTGTTTTAATAATGGGTTTTTATTCACATAATAATTAAGATTTCACATTGGAGATATACTTTTCATTATGAGCAGCATATATAAATAATACATATGTATTAAAACATATTATGATTTTATACATTGGGTACAAAGTAAGTTGAAAAGAATTTACAAAAGAGGACACTATCAGTCTTAAAATAACATTTGATTTAAAGCTTTATCAAGTTTTAACTTACAGCATGTCTTTTGTCGAAAAGCTTTTCATAACAACAAAACTGTCTATTTGTGGGAACATAATATAATTTGAAAGAAATTTTTATGTTTTGCTGTCATTTGAAGGAAAGAAAAAACAGCTGAAGGTTATTGATTGTAGTATGAAGCTAACAGGGATGATACTTCATCAGTTCCAACTTGTAAATATTTTGACACTGATGATGAACTACTTTTTTTCTTTTATTGACATAATGATATGCTGCCGAAATATGAAGGAATGTAGAAGCTATCGATGGAATATACAATTGTTACTTTCTAATACTGAAGCCCCAATTTTTAGGAAAAAAAAAAACACCTTTAAAACTTACTTGTATCACCAATATTGAAACATCAGAGTACTATAATAGTTTCAAAACAAACTATCAGATCAACTGCATATCCACAAAGCACAGAAAAAGAAATAAACTTTTAATGACACGCTTCATACAATGACCCCTTTTTAATTCAAACACAGACAAATCGAAATCTTAAATAAAAATAAGAATCAGTAATTTTCCAACAAATTCCTATGGATTTTTGCATTATAAATTTAAATCTAAATCAATTTAAAAAAAAATTTTTTTTGAATTTTTTTTAAGTTATCATTTTAAAGTAATATAAAGCAATCCACATCATTAGAATAAGAAGGTAAAAAACTAAAGCCCAACTACCTCAGATTGACTTAATTGCAAAATTTGCTTTTACATGTAATTCATATTTACACTCTACTCTTACAAGTCTGAAGATTTTTAATTTATGCAATCATAATGTTTAGTTATTAATTGTATGCTTGCATTATTTACAAGATAAAACTTGAAGGTCAGAAAGAAATTATCTCAGAAAGGAAAGCAGAAGTGGTAAGAGAATTTAGCATTAAAATTAAATTTTATGAAGTTCATGAATTTATTGTTTCACACATTTATGCAATTAAATTTTACTAACTTCATGCTCTTAAACCAAAAAGAATTTTTAAATTTCGATTTGAATGATTTTACAGTCCTTTTAAAATTTTAATTATTTTACTATTCCACCAAATTTAAATAAAAACAATAATTAAAACATTTTTCGAAACAATAATTTGACAGGTTCTCCAACGAGAGAGTAATAATTAGTGTTAAATGTATCAAATAAATAGTGTATTGCTGAAAAAATTCAACTTAAATAATTTTATACATAATTTTTTTTTAAAACTATTTACAAATGTAGTCCACATTTTGATATCAGTCACAAAAAAAATTTGTAAAACAGAATCCCCCTTAAAGAGTACCCCAAAACGGAGAGCAATCAATTCTACCAATAAAATGTTTAAATGAATATGCTGTCTGCAGAACAATGTAAATTTCTGAACTATCACTGATTAGATCACATTAGTTTTTTTTTTCCATGAAAATTTATACCAAATTTTTCGTTAAAGTTCCAGTAGTTTCTAAACTTGATTTAATAGTCATTTTGGTAGCAATGTGATAGTAACTTTTTTAACTACTAACAAAAATTATGTATAGAAGTCACACTATCAATATACTTTTCATTTCATACTTTTATCACTCGTCATTCAACTTTAAAATTGGAACTTTTTTTGTATTTTTCCCCATAAAAAGATGAACAATTCTAGTTTAACGAATCTCGTTGATTGCTTTGAATTAGGGATCTCAGTTTATTTGTCTTAATGTAAAAAAAGTAACAGTTAAAAAAATTTAAAAATTTGAAAAAGTTACTAAAAGTAAAGGGTCATTCCTAAATAGGAAAAAGAAATTTACTACAAATAAGGGATTACTAAAGCAAAATTAAAATAGTCTTGATCAGTATTTCATTTGACAAAAATTGAATCTGACTAAGAATGTGGTTAATCTGTTGAATCTGTCATCATTGTATGAATCATATTGAAATACACAAAGCATTTATGCACCAACCTCGGCTAAATCGTCTGAGAATTCACAATATATACATGCAGATGAGAATAAGTAATTTAATGATTATGGTTATCTTAAAACAGAAAACCTCACAGTGAATGTTATCATGAAAGTATCACATTTAGAAAAATAAGTTACACGTTTAACAATCCCACAATGCAACATAAGAGGAAAATAAAAGACTACTCACTTCCTTTAAAAAAAAAAAAAATTTTTTTTCAAAAACAATGGGGCTAGAAAGTAATTTGCTTAACATATAAAATTACAATTCCCATAAAAAATACTGGAATGAAAGTTTATTTTTAAGAATTACCTACTTTATAATGGAATTATAACATAATCAGAGATATGATAAACAAATATTTTTAATGAAAAAAAAAAAAAACAGGTTCCAATTTTTATCTTCTTTTAATTAAATTATTGTGAGCCCTATACAAGATGACTTATTGTTTTAAGATAAAAGTTTAATGGTGTAAAATCTGGAAATCAGACATACTACATGTTTTATATGACATTACATTCTCAAATTGACAAATTATAAAGTCAAATACACGTTTTTTATAATAGCCTGTTTCTTCAATTGATTATGATGAGTCAAAAATAATTTTTGAAAACCATTTTTAATTATTTAAATACTTTTAAAAAATGAAAAAATTTACAAAGAGGTACAAAAAAGTTTTCATTAAACTTTAAACAACCATTGCCATTCATTATTAATTATAAAATCTTGAATTTATTATTTATTACATAGAAAATTCTCAATGCTATAAAAACATTAAAAGAAAAAAGTTATTTTCTTAAAAAAAAAAGGTCAGTTAAAAAGCTCAAAAGCAAAGAATAGTGTCTTAATATGAAAATTCTAAATCTTATAACTTTAGTTTTCAAACTCAGCTAGTATTTAAAAAAAAAAAAAAAATCTTAACACATATGATATGTATTAGAATTAATTGACTTAAAAAAAAAGGCATTTCCCAAAATGTTTCTGTTGTTTTCCATAATGGATAATTTTATTTTAAAAATATTATTGTATATATATACTATAATGATATGACCTATGATTTAATTTCATTAAGAAAAAAAAAAAAGAAAGAAAAAAAAAACTTTCCTCCAACAATCTATTTCTAAAACTATTACTAACTTTTATAGGTTTTGGAATATATTTCTTAACTTGATTAAACTTGGTGAAATTTAATCAATATATTGATAAAAGTGTAAAAATAAAGAAATTTTTTTTTACTATTTTACAAACTGAAACACTTTGCATCTAATCTGGCAGAGTTCACAATGAAATAAAATTAGGCAAGAATTAAAAATGCATTGCAGGAAATCTCAATTGTATGTCTGTACACTACCCTTAATTTGATTTTTTTTTAATGCTTCCAAAACTCACTGAAACAGCTCAACCTACCCTCAGCACTGTAATCATTAGCACAGTTTTCTTCTAAACTGTTTAGTATGGACTTAGAAGGGTTTGAGTGGCAAAGCTTCGACGGTTGGCAATTTTTTCAAATCAGTGTAACTCAATCGTATTGAGATGAAGTTTCAACCGATTTTTGGCAACAAAATTATCATGATTATCTCGCGACATAACACACTACTAAGTAGCTTTAAATGCAAAAGTTTATTAACAACTTTATAAAAAACTGCATATGTTTAGAAGAAATTCTCAAAAGGTGAAAAGCACAAGACAGCTCTAAACTTTAAGCTGTGACAACAATTAAGCTGGGGAGTAGTGTTACTCGTTTCCCTGGCATCTTTAATGCATACGTGCTCCCTGGGTAAATGAGTAACACCATTCCTCAACACAGCCCAGGTGACATGCCTTCTCCAATTTCACATGAAGGTTACTTCGTACTAGGAGAAGGAAAATGGCCAATACATCCAGTTTTTTGTCGTTGGAAAAAAAAAAAAACAAGATTTAGTTTAATTTACAGTCAAAATGTTAAAGTCAATTTATAATACTGTCTATAAACAGGAATTAATGTAAATTATTGCAAAAGATTTATAAAATATCTTTAAAAAAATTTTAAAATCAAAAGATGCCAATTCTGGACATTCCTGATAACTGACCCAATGTTACAAAAAAAAAAAAATAATAATAATTTTTTTTAAAGTGTTTAGTTGTTAACAAATAAGAATAAATATAAGGTTTAAATAAGAAGGTTACCTGATAATAATCTAGACAAATAGCATTACTTGAAAAGTTGAATTACTAGGTGAAAGATTTTTAGAAAAAGCAATTTAGTGCTTGGATGCATGTCCAAAAGATTGCATACGAAACTGTGTTGTTATTGAAACAAGAAATTGATTTAAGTAAGAACTTTAACCAATTTCTTGAGGAAGACCCTTGCCTAATTTCTTGTAAGAACCAAAAACTTATTTAATCTTAAAATAGTTTTCAGGTATTCAAATATTTTCTTACTACAAGTCAGTGGTTGGAAAAACTACATTTTCTTTCTAGTTAACTACAACTTCTTTGTTTTAAATGTAGCAACTACAAACTACTTTTGAAATGTAGTCACTACTTTGCTACTTTTAGAAGACATGCTTACACAAAATAGTTTTTTATTCTAAAGCACTTTTCACAAATTTGTTCTTTTAACTTTCAAACTCTATGCTTTTCTCGACAGCAGTTTAAGAAATGCCAGTAAATTATCAAATACTTGTGATTTGAGTCATCAGTGCTTTTTATATCCAAGAAATAAAGTACAGCGCGAAAAATAAAAAACAGATCACCCTGAATAACTTTTGATCTAATGATTGGATCTTCACGTTCTAGGACTCAATCTGAATGGTTTGAAGGGGTGACCACAAATATGCTTATTCATTAATGCACATAATATTTTAAGTAACGAAATCAGACACAAAAATGTACTTTATAGTTCTTGTGAAATCAAATTTTAAAAAAGTGAGATATTTAAAATTCGATTTCTTAAGAACAACTCGACTAATTTCTCCAAGCATCAGACGTAGATCTTATTAATGCTCGGCCACAGAGGAGGCATTTGGATTGCGCACGCTGTTGGGATTTTTACCAATCAGATTCGAAATTTTTTTTTTGTTTGAACTTTATTTAACTAACGTTAAAAGTTGTTGCCAGGAATTGCTGCAAATTACTGTTTTTTTGTATCGCACTACTCACTACACTACTTCTTTTAAAAAATAGTGACTACAGTAGTTTCGCTACTCGGGGCGAAACTACTTCCAACCACTGCTACAAGTGAAATAAATAATTGTCCAAGCAATAAACGCCAATAGCTTTTCTCATAAATTAACCAAAGTAATCCAATGAACTAAATTTTGATGGAAAAAGTTTTTATAGTGTTAGTTTTATTATAGTTTTGTTAGATAGAAAAATATATTGATCAATAGTGAACATTTAGTGCATACAACGTAAATATGAATAGAATTTAGAACACTGCCTTTTGAATCACCTTTTAAGAAGTTCCCTTATGTTAAAATATATGACATTATTCAATGAGCAAAATAATGATTACCATGATATACAGAAATAAAACTACAAACAGTTAAAAATGTTTTGCATAATAACATAATAAGATACTTGATTATACAATAGAACAAGTATTATTATTACAAAATTACATAAATTTGAATCCTCAGAAAATAAGAACAAATTTTTATTTTCTTTGACTAATAAAAAGATTGGATTAAAAAAAAATGTTTGAGGATGCTAAACCAAATTTGTAATGATTACGTAGGTCAAGTTAAACATTAATAACTGTAAAAGTTTAATTTTAAAAAGTTATTAATAGTTAAAGAAGAAAAATTCATGATTTTTTTTTAAAGCAACAGGTCATCACTTTTTCATATGTATGGAAAAAGTTTACACAATCTGTTTTACAAAATAAATTTTTCAGCACAGCAGCAGCAACCGTATCCGTATGCAGATAACTTAGCATCTAAGTTTTATTTTTATAAAGCAAATATACAAACTGGGGTAGGAATCACCGAGACTCCTTTTTAAAATATCTGTTAACTTGTTTATAATAAAAACCACAAAATTGAATTGAGAGCAACACAGAGAACAAAAGTTATTCTATTACTTGATGGACTTAACTGTAAAAGAATTCATTCCATTTTTAGTGTCACTGCATAAAATTGAACTTAAATTGAAACAACATAAAGTTTTTGTGTAAATTGTTAAGGATTTTATATTTACAAATTATGCACGTTAGATGAATCTGAAATTTTTAGAACAATAATATCTGTCTGGCTGCATTAAGTCGCAGAAAAAATTTGAATTAAAGCAGATTTACTCTGTGAATTCGGTTAATTATGGTAGTTAATCATCCTGTTGCTTTAAAAAAAAGTAATGCTAAAGAGTATAAAACTAGTGATTCATAATCAAAAATAATTAAGAAACTCTAATGACTAGAGGTTTCAAATACGATAAAAAATAGATGTCAATTTCTTCTCCCCAACTCAAAATATACAAAAATAAAATTCTAAAATAATCTTCATTCTGTGAAACATATTTGGTATAGAAACAGAATACGACATTTGATTACCTGAATGAAAAAGGAGGGAAAAATAAGCACCTGATGATGAAGGATGTGACTTAGAAAGCACCTGAAAACTATAATGCAGCAGGGGAAAAAACAATTTCAACCAGTTAAAGGATGCAAGTCGACTTTCACTTTCTCATCGCTGCTTAGCATTCCAATAGTTGGGTAAAATCCACCCTTTGGAATGCATACATCTTTCTGGCCAATGGTTTTACCATTACGAGTAAAAAACACCTGAAATGGGTGCACATTCATTAGAATAGTACTATGACAGGTATTAAAATACTCACAATTTCTCAACATTGGTAGTCGTAAACAGAAAATTGGGTCGGCCGTTCAATGACAGTTATAAAAAAATAAACAGGGAGCATAGCCAAATCCTTCAATAAATTATTTATTATAAACTGCATTATTTTTATAGTTCATTTAATTACAAATTTATTACAAATTCTTAATTACAAATTTAATAAACTACAATTTTTTTTTTAATGTACTGATTACTTCACTACTTTCAAAATGTAGTAACTACTTTAAGGAAATGAACTGTACTGGGGAATCTTAATTTTCATTCATGTTCAAAATAGTTTTAAATAAAAAATTGGCTTATATTAAACATGAGGACTCATTAGGAGGTATCTCCATGTTTACACAAGCCAGAACCTAAAACATTTTAGTTCAAATTTGTTCGTTTAACTTTTAATTTTTAATGCCTTTTTTGACAGCAAATATTTAATTAAGTAATGCTAGAAAATTATCCAATATTTGCAATTTCGTAAAGTGTTTAATGCTCTTTTTTTGTTGAGAAATTAGGCACATTGAAATAACATCAATGTTTCACGAGTGTACATTTGCATTTGAAAGTGTGACCCAAGCGATAAATTAGTATTATTCCTAGAGGCTAGTTTAAATATCAATTATATGTGATTCTTATTACATAATTCTTGTTAATGTTAAGCAACAGAGTAATTTTCATTGAATCTATTATTGGCCCTGCATACGTTTGTACTCATCAGGTTTAAAAAATTAGCTACAAATCCCTGCTATTTTTTTGTATCACACTACTCACAACTCTAAGTTTCTTTTTCTAAAAAATGTAGCAACTACAGTAGTTTCATTACTTGCAGTGTGCTACTTCTGATCACCAATTTGCAGTGTGCTACTTCTAATCATTGACAAAAAGCATATGTATTTTTTTAAGAGAGTTTCAAAGGATGATTTCAGTTATAATTGCAATCTTGCAAAATATTACTCTATAAATTTTGTTTAACCTTTTTCTTATAGATAGTGACACTGAGTTGATTTTTAGAATAGAAATTCAATTTGTTGCTTAAACATTATTGCTTGTTTCCCAGGAATATTACTCTAATTCAAATTTTTGAATATTGGAACCTTTCTAACATTTTTCACAATGTTTCAGAAATCAAAATATCAATGTTTTGAAATTTTATATAATGTTGTAGAAATGCAACTATTTTTTTGGTAATTTTTTAATTTTATAAAAGTTATTATTAATTTTTTATGTGTTAAAAGTTATACATTTTAACGCAATAGGAATTAAAAAAAAAAAAAAAAATTGGTGTTGAAATAACAAATACGTTCTGCCACTTTTTATAAAGTTTAAAGATAAAAAAAATCTTTGACAGTACTTCAGAGTCACTATTTTGTGGTATATAAACATTTTGGCATATCTAGTGATATTTAAATAAAATAACGCGAACAATATAATTATTAAATGTGGGATCTTCTATACTATATGACAAACACCTAATCTATAATTAAGTTCATTACACACATTTCGGATTTAATAACTGCTGCAAGTATTTGCAGTGTTTTCAGCATTGGTGATTCATAAACAGTGGCTTTAGTATGTTGGTGGCATGTGATTTATCGTTTTAAACTACTGATGATGAAAAAAACTGCTCAAACATGATTATGAAAATCTAATTTTAGATACCTGTATGTTAACACCAAATTCAATATTTTCTTTAGCTTTCCACCATTCCTCATCTTCAGATTCACTCAGAGACCCCGACAATTCATCATCAAAGTCTGCATTTAAGGAAGACGGACCATTTTCACTCGATTCATCACAGTCAAAGTAACAAACAAAGTCTCGGGGGAACATAATTCCACATCCCATTATGTCACCTAGAACAAGAGTTAAATACAATCTATAAAGTAGGCAAAACTATGGCATACATTACAGAACAATGTAAAAATTTTTTCATGATTTTTCAAGACTAATTTTATAGAATTTCCCCAATTTTTGTAACTGGTGATACACATTTTATTATTAATTTTTCAGACATGAAAATTTATACACTACTACATTTAATTGGTTCAAACATTCATATAAAGCCCCACTTTGTCCTCTTATGGTAAGGCATTCAAAATATTTGCAAAATTACCAAAACTTTTTAAAACTTTAGTTATTATCTGCCTACCACTCTAGAAAATATTTTGAATAAAAGCGTAGTAGCTGACCCTGTGGCAGAATTTATTCTAATACTAATATCTTTCTGCAAGACACTTTTAAAAATAGCAAATATACTGTTACTAATTTAAAGTCATCATGAAAGAAAAAAAAAAAACTTTTCGGATCAAACAAAATAATTTTTTTAATTGAATATGAATTATTTTTTTAAATTCTACCATGGGCGATATTCTTGCATTTTGTAGGGGGAAAACACTTTCCCCCTACTATTTAATTTTTGGCATTTTGAAAAATCATCAACACATTAAAAAATTTTTGAAATTTGTAGCAGTAATTATAGGGGGGTATGATTGACAGCAAAATCAAACGAAAGGGAGTCTTCAAGAAAAGGTTACTAAATGCGTGTTTTTATTTCAAGATCAGTTGCAGGAAAGAAAACGAAATTTTTTTCATTTTTACTCTTTATTTTTCATTATTCTCAAATGAGAATAGAAAAATCACAAGCATTTTTTTCCACTCAGATGCACGAGAAAGGCATATTTTGAATATAATTCTGTAGAAAAGATAAACTTTTTAGAAAATTTCTGCAGAAAAGAAAACCAAAATTTTTTACTTCCCAAAGGAAAAATCTTTCTGCAAGAACTCAGTAACATTCACCGACAATGTCGCCATCCTCTGCCATGGCGGGGGGGGGGGGGGGGGGGGGCNGGGGGGCGGCAGCCCTGAATATCATCCAACTTTCAAAATCTCAATACAGTTAAATTACAATTATTTAAACTGGGTTCCCACGCAATTTTTTTAAAAAAATTCAAGGACTTTTCATTTTCAATGACTTTCAAGGACTTAAAATCAAATTTTTCAAGGACCTATTCAGTATTATTGTTATATGCTAAAGTACATGTCAACCAGATTTTCCAATTACGTAGAAGCAGAAATTGTATATTTTTAAATTAAATTTATCAGCTAACAATACAAATGGCTGATAGTTACATTGTTGTTTCAAAACACCTAGAAAAAATTTTCAATTGACAAAAAAAAAAAAAAAAAAAAAAACTCCAACAATACAAACCAGCATCAGTGAAATTTTTCATGAAAATTCAATGAAGTGAATTAGAATTAATGAAACTGAATGAATGTATAAAGCATATTATACATTCATTCAATTTCCTAATATGAATTCTGATGAGTAACTTGCAAATCACTTTAAAGTAATATTCGACATGTGATTCATTAATCACTTTCAGTTAAACCGCAATTCATAGAGCATTTCATATGATTTCCGATCCGTAAATCAAGAATCTTTTTAATGTGAATTATGATGTTTATTCATAATCAATGAAACCTGTAGAACTAAATTTTATTTATTAGCAGTAAAAACTAACAGTAAAAGTTTGATAATAAATGATAAAAAAATTAATTATACTTTGTACTTAAAAGAACAATATTAACCTGTTGTAATAATAGAGTTAACACATTGAACATATTTCTAAATCCATTAAACACTATATATTATTCGAAAACTATGACTAAAAAACCTAAAATTTGCTAGAAATTTTAGCTTTTAAAACATCAGAGCCTGAAAAATCTAGGAGAGAAAAGTTTTGCATCTTCTTTAACCCCTTTTCACTTCAAGCATTAAAAATTGCNGAACATAGTTCTAAATCCATTAAACACTATATATTATTCGAAAACTATGACTAAAATTTGCTAGAAATTTTAGCTTTTAAAACATCAGAGCCCGAAAAATCTAGGAGAGAAAAGTTTTGCATCTTCTTTAACCCCTTTTCACTTCAAGCATTAATAACTGCATCAATCAGAATTTCTATAATTTTCCTTTGAATTTATTATTTTGTTACTACTTTTTTGGAAGAAAAATTAGTAGTATTTTAATTCCTAAAAAATCAAGTACTTTTCAAGTACCCTATGACAGAATTCAAGGACTTTTCAGGGCCCTGATATTTTTCAACCAAATTCAAGGACTTTCAAGTACCGTGGGAACCCTGTTAAATTTTTAAAAAAAATATTTGATTAACGGTGTCTCCTTTCATATTCACATAGTTTATATTTGATTGCATTATTAAGATGATTGATAGATTCAGATTCTTTTTCAAATAAAGGAGATAAAAAATTAAAAGAATTTATTTTATGCTGTTTTCAAAGAAGCACTTTCCTAAAAGTAACTATACATAAAAACACATTACAAAAAGAATTGAATTTCAAAACATTATAATTCAGAGAATAATACAAACCCTTATAACAACGAGGCCCAAAAGGATCTCCAACACCACTACCGACAAATATTTTCCCATCATCTGCACAAAAATAAAAACAAAATTAAAAATTTTTTTATTTGCAAATCATTCCAAAACATTGAAAGAATATTGAGAAAGGAGAAAAAGCAAAAATTGTATCTAACATTTAATAGTATTATGCATATAAGTAATAAAAGCATACATTTGTCTCAAAAAAAAAAAATCTTGCTACTGAAAATTTGCTGACATTTTGAATTAAGTTTTTAACATTTTCCTTTTTTTTTCAGATTGAATATATTTTATTTAAACATTATGGCATAAAAAATAACATAAAACTTTACAATGGCAAAATGTAAAACTTGACAAGCAGTAAATATATTAACAAATCAGCAATAAAATTAACTTAATAAAATTATCAGCTTAAAACTGCAACAAAAAAAACAAAAAAAATCGGAGGGGTCTAGTTTATTGCCATTTTGAGAAAATGTCTGTTTTTAGAACATTTTTCTGAAATATGCCAACTTTATAGTTAGGTGGAAAAAAATCGAAAAATTTAACAAGTTCGGGAATTTTTTTTGCAACAGCAGGGTTCCCACTCATTTTTTAAAAAAAATTCAAGGACTTTTCAATGACTTTCAAGGACCTATTCAATATTACAATTATATGCTAAATTACACTTCAACTAGATTTTACAATTACGTAGAAGCAGAAATTGTATATTTTTAAAGCACAATGCTTATTTGACAACAACAAAAAAATATTTATTAAATTTATCATCTAATAATACAAATGGCTGATAGTTAAATTGCTGTTTTCAAACCACTTTGAAAAATTCCAGTAGACTGAAAAAAAAAAAAAAAAACTCCAATTGACATGGGATAAAAGCCAAAATTTGAAAACTAACATCAGTGAAACTTTTTTTGAAAAATTTAATGAAGTGAATTAGAATTAATGAAATTGAGTGAATGAATAATGCATATTATTACATTAAACAAGCATAGTAAATAATTTATAATGTTTGCGTAATTGCACGGCTGATAAAACATAAATACTTCTTTTTAATATGTTATATCAAATTTTAGGTTACAGGAAATGTATATAATTAGATAAAATATCAAAATATACCTATTTAACATATCTGTTTCAATTTTAATAACAAATTACTATTTTGTTACTTCAGAAAATGAGTAATGTATTTCGAACATAATAAAATCTATTGTAGAACAATATTTTACGGAAAACTAATTAAGACATATCAAGCTTTATTTTCTTTAAAGTATATCCATAAAATGTGAAGCGCAATTTTTAAAATTTTGTTAATCTGATTAATTTTTACTAAGCGTTATTTTCAAATCGCATTTATACGAATCTAGATATACTATATGTAAATCAAAATTATAAGAAAGGTGAAGTAAGTCTCAAAGAATACGTTAATAACGTATCGCAATGTGTGATTTGTAAATTTAAATTGAATTGTGGTTAATGCATCTTAAATCGGAACAATATAAATACCTAATGATACAAAACGCACGAACTAACAAGACGTAAATCAAAATGTGTGATACATAAATCACTTCAATATGAATTCTGTTGTGTGATTAGCTAATAGTTTTCATGTGAATTGTAATCATTATGATGCAAACTGCAATTTATGAATCGAAAGGTGCTTAATATAGAAAAGCTATGTGTGATTCTTAAATCATTTTGACGAGAATTGCAAGTGATAATTCTTCTATCTCTCTTTTGTGAATCGCAAAGCGTGATTTGTAAACTACTAGAATGAAAATTATTAGGCATGATTCTGAAATTACTTAAATACGTATCACATTATATGATTCAGAAATAACTTAAATTGAAATCATGATGTGTGAATCCTGATGTGTAATTTGCAAATCACTTTAAAGTAATATTCAATATGTGATTCATTAATCACTTTCGTTTAAATCGCAATTCATCGAACATTTTATATGAATTCCAATCCGTGAATCGAGAATCAGTTTAATGTGAATCACAATGTTTATTCATAATCAATGAATCCAGCAGAACAAAATTTTATTTATTAGCAGTAAAAACTAAACGTAAAAATTTGGTTATAAATTTTAAAAAATTAATTACCCTTCGTACGTAAATTAAAAGAACAAATAGGATAACAATATAAATCTGTTGTAATAATGGAGTTAACACATTGAACACATTTCCAAATCCATTAAACACTATATATCATTCGAAAATTATGACCACAAAACCTAAAATTTGCTAGAAATTTCAGCTTTCAAAACATCAGAGAGATGAACAATAATCGGGTGTGAAAATTTAGGAGAAAAAAGTTTTGGAATCTTCTTTAGCACCTTTTCACTTCAAGCATTAAAAATTGCATCTATCAAAATTTCTATAATTTTCCTTCGAATTTATTTAATATTTTTTTACTGCTTTTTTATAAAAAGATAAGTATTATTTTAATTCCTAAAAAATCAAATACTTTTCAGGTACCCTACGGCAGAGTTCAAGGACTTTTCAGGGCCCTGATTTTTTTCAACAAAATTCAAGGATTTTCATGTACCGTGGGAACCCTGAACAGTTTCTAAAGAACATGTTTCTAAGTGGCATTGACATTAATGCATTGAAGTATTAATATATTAGTGAATTATAAAAGTACAATTCAGAATATAGTTTTAGGACAATTTACCTGCATGGTAAGCTATTGACCCTTTATTCCAGCCTGGATGCCTGTATTTCGGATAATCCTAATGAAAATTAATTTATAATCAATAACACATTTGTTATTTTATTACCTATAAAAATGCAAGCAACAAAAAAATAGTTTACTTTTCTAGCTAGACCTATAGCAATATAGCAGTTTTCTCCTGGATCTAAAATTTCAATTTCAAAATAATGGTGCGTAGTATCTAAAGGATATTTGGCTTGAGCTAAACCAACATCAATGATACTTTTACCTCGACCGGCATATTCTAATATCTATAAAGAGCAAGCAAGCATATTAAACCAGGTAACACTTATAGAAATGGATGGTGTTTTCAAGATAAATGTAAACAACAATCTCGAGCTCTTGACCTCCTCTACTTCCAGTTAGAAAATATACAACCTGCTTACTACAGCTCATTATACGAGGTGATATTTTCAAGCAGATAATTATGATTTTAATAAGAGAAATAATTTCAGAGCTCAAATCTGCTGTATTTCATAAGATATTAAGTAATTCTGGTGTGTTTGAAGTGAAAGTTTGCTTTGGTTTTTTGGAGACGTATTGTTAAAAAAGGTGACATGGTTGCTAGATTTTGAAAGAAATTGCACTTTCGGCAGTTCTGATCTGGCCTCTTTTTACTCGTTTATAACTGTTTGTTCTCAGTGCGAGCTGTGCACCATCGTGCCTCAGTGTCAGCAAGTTGTTTGAGCAGTGAGATTAAGTTCATTTTACAAATTATCATTTAGATATTATATTGATAACAAAGTGAAAAATGTTTTATAACTAGTCCTTTTTCAAACGACGATTGTTATGTATTGAAACAACAAGTCTTTGATTTTTCTTTTAAACACAAATAATAAATCAGGTAACAAATAGACATATACAAGAAATACTATTCAAGAGATTTTCTAAACACAATGATGACATTGTGAGCCAAATAGCTTCAAAACACACCTAAAAGAGTAACCTGGAAGTATAGGCAGTCAAGAGCTGACAGCGCACCCTAGAGTAGAAAACACCATTCATATTACCAACCCATCAGTTTAATATACTCGACACTCACTGAGCCATTGAGTTTGATATCATGCAATCTAGACCACTCTTCTTCGTTACTGTCTATGCACATAGACATATCTTCCTCGGGTGTCCACTTAGATCGTCCAATGTAAAAAAGTTGAGCTCCAAAGGCATTAAGACCAACAGCAGGGTAAAGTCCACCAGCTGGCATGGTACAAACAGTTTGGCCAATCTGAAATATAAAAGTATTAAAATTTTTATGTAAGGAGCTAAAAATTGAGATTAAAGGAGAGGAATAGGAATTAGAAGAAATTAAAATGGATAATAGAATATAAAATCCATAATGAAAACTTTTAAAAGACATAAAATATTTTTTTTAAAAATGTCCAATATAAGTACTTTAAAAAACTTCAATAAACAAAATTTTATAAAATAATAGAATCAGTTTTGCTATACTCTATTATCAAATTAAAAAAAAAAAAGAATGAGATCAAGGTTCATTCAAGTATATCAAGGTTCAAAAGTATATCAGGGTTCATTCAAGGTGGGATTTGTTATTAAAATAAATAAAAAAATTCTGCCCTGCTTGTCTGCTATTCACCCAATTTTCTGATAAATCCATATTGTTTTTGTTATCCGTTTTCTGGCAGCTATTTAACTTTCTGAGAGGTCATTTCCCAGTTGTTTTAAAAATTTTGATCATTTCAATACAAAATTAATAGGTCATGCAAGATTTATAAAATGAGAGAATATTGCTAATTTCAAAACCAATCCATGGTACTAGGTTGGTAGGTACTTAATTTACGTCGCACTAGAGTTGTACAATGGGCTGCTGGCAACAGTCTGGGAAACACCCCTGAGGATGATCTGAAGTCATAATACAGTCAAACCCCGCTATAGTGGACACGGTTTATAGTGAACTCCCGGATATAGTGAATGAAATGCTCGGCCCCGTACCTTGCTATACACGTATAATGTTATTTTTAGTGGATATAGTGAACCAAAAAAGTGAGGAAGTTGGATATAATGAACTTTTTTCTGTCTTCGACTATTTCCCCCCCATTTTCTTTGCAAATAATTTTGAAATTTCTACTTCAAAATAAATACATATACCGATTTTTAAAACCATCTATAGAAACTACTTTAATGTGCTCGTATGGCAGGTTAGACAGGTTCAAAAAGCGGAATAACAGAAATTCAGGAAAAATTATCTGAGAGTCGGGAAGTGTTTCCATATCTGATGTTGAGAATTGCTCATCAGCTAAAGATTACAAATTTTTTTTTGTAAGCAAGACGAAGAGTGATGAAAAATAACATATTTTTTGCTACTACATAATATTTTTCAGTCATTTATGTGAATATAATGTAATAAAAGGGAGGAGTTTGGGAACCATTAGTGAAATTGCCTGCGTAACGGATATAGTGAACTCCCGGTTATAGTGAACCGAAATTTCGGTCCCTTGAAGGTTCACTATAG